CCAAGCAAGGCTTAGCTTCCAGAAACAATGGGGTTCTGTTGGTGTAAGGCTTGGCTTGGTATGGTAGGGTGTGGGACTGAGTAGAGTTTGGGTTTGGTGTTGGGTTAGGTGTCATTTGCTTGGATCTGAGGGCTGGGTATTTTGTCTGTGAGTTGGTGAGGTATTGGACTTTGTGGTGTTTGGGTGGCGTGTTGGGGCAAGGTGTGGTATGGTGGGATCTGAGGGCTGGGTATTTTGTCTGTGAGTTGGTGAGGTGTTGGACTTCATGGTGTTTGGGTGGCGTGTTGGGCCTTGGTTGTGTTTGGTGATGTGTAGGGGATAGGTGTTTTATGGTGAAGTGTTAGGCCTTGGTAGTGTTTGGTGATGTGTAGGGGATAGGTGTTTTATGGTGAAGTGTTAGGCCTTGGTAGTGTTTGGTGATGTGTAGGGGATAGGTGTTTTATGGTGAAGTGTTGGGCCTTGGTAGTGTTTGGTGATGTGTAGGGGATAGGTGTTTTATGGTGAAGTGTTAGGCCTTGGTAGTGTTTGGTGATGTGTAGGGAATAGGTGTTTTATGGTGGAGTGTTGGGCCTTGGTAGTGTTTGGTGATGTGTAGGGGATAGGTGTTTTATGGTGGAGGCCTTGGGCCTTGGTAGTGTTTGGTGATGTGTAGGGGATAAGGTGTTTTATGGTGGAGTGTTGTTGGGCCTTGATAGTGTTTGGTGATGTGTAGGGGAATAGGTGTTTTATGGTGGAGTGTTGGGCCTTGGTAGTGTTTGGTGATGTGTAGGGATAGGTGTTTTATGGTGGAGTGTTGGGCCTTGGTAGTGTTTGGTGATGTGTAGGGGATAGGTGTTTTATGGTGGAGTGTTGGGCCTTGGTAGTGTTTGGTGATGTGTAGGGATAGGTGTTTTATGGTGGAGTGTTGGGCCTTGGTAGTGTTTGGTGATGTGTAGGGATAGGTGTTTTATGGTGGAGTGTTGGGCCTTGGTAGTGTTTGGTGATGTGTAGGGGATAGGTGTTTTATGGTGGAGTGTTGGGCCTTGGTAGTGTTTGGTGATGTGTAGGGGATAGGTGTTTTATATGGTGGAGTGTTAGGCCTTGGTAGTGTTTGGTGATGTGTAGGGGATAGGTGTTTTATGGTGGAGTGTTGGGCCTTATGGTGGGGTGTTAGGCCTTGGTAGTGTTGGTGATGTGTAGGGGATAGGTGTTTTATGGTGGGTGTTAAAGCCTTGGTAGTGTTTGGTGATGTGTAGGGATCTGGGTGTTTTATGGTGGTGGAGTGTTGGGCCTTGGTAGTGTGTTGGTGATGTGTAGGGATAGGTGTTTTATGGTGGTAGATGTGTAGGGGATAGGTGTTTTATGGTGGAGTGTTGGGCCTTGGTGTGTTTGTGATGTGTAGGGGATAGGTGTTTTATGGTGGAGTGTTGGGCCTTGGTAGTGTTTGGTGATGTGTAGGGATAGGTGTTTTATGGTGGAGTGTTGGGCCTTGGTAGTGTTTGGTGATGTGTAGGGATAGGTGTTTATGGTGGAGTGTTGGGCCTTGGTGAGTGTTTGGTGATGTGTAGGGGATAGGTGTTTTTATGGTGGAGTGTTGGGCCTTGGTTGGAGCCTTAGTAGTGTTTGGTGATGTGTAGGGGATAGGTGTTTATGGTGGAGTGTTAAGGTTGGTAGTGTTTGGTGATGTGTAGGGATAGGTGTTTTTATGGTGGAGTGTTGGGCCTTGGTAGTGTTTGGTGATGTGTAGGGATAGGTGTTTTATGGTGGAGTGTTGGGCCTTGGTAGTGTTTGGTGATGTGTAGGGGATAGGTGTTTTATGGTGGAGTTGGGTTGGTAGTGTTTGGTGATGTGTAGGGATAGGTGTTTTTGGTGGAGTGTTGGGCCTTGGTAGTGGGATGTAGGTGATAGGTGTTTTATGGTGGAGTGTTGGGCCTTGGTAGTGTTTGGTGATGTGTAGGGGATAGGTGTTTTATGGTGGAGTGTTGGGCCTTGGTAGTGTTTGGTGATGTGTAGGGGATAGGTTTTATGGTGGAGTGTTGGGCCTTGGTAGTGTTTGGTGATGTGTAGGGGATAGGTGTTTTATGGTGGAGTGTTGGGCCTTGGTAGTGTTTGGTGATGTGTGTAGGGATAGGTAGGTGTTTTATGGTGGAGTGTTGGGCCTTGGTAGTGTTTGGTGATGTGTAGGGGATAGGTGTTTTATGGTGGAGTGTTGGGCCTTGGTAGTGTTTGGTGATGTGTAGGGGATAGGTGTTTTATGGTGGAGTGTTGGGCCTTGGTAGTGTTTGGTGATGTGTAGGGGATAGGTGTTTTATGGTGGAGTGTTGGGCCTTGGTAGTGTTGGTGATGTGTGGGGATAGGTGTTTTATGGTGGAGTGTTGGGCCTTGGTAGTGTTTGGTGATGTGTAGGGGATAGGTGTTTTATGGTGGAGTGTTGGGCCTTGGTAGTGTTTGGTGATGTGTAGGGGATAGGGTGTGTTGGGTGCGGGGGCTTGGTAGTGTTTGTGTAGCATGGGAGCTAAGTGTGGTTTAGTAGGGTGTGGGGGCTCGGCATTATTGGGAAGGGTGGTGGGGCTTAGTGGTTATTAGGCTGGGTCTTAGAAGTAGTCAGTCAGATCAGCTGTCGGGGTAGGCAGGGTGGGTGATGCGGCTAGCATGTTAAGGTGGGGATGGATGAAGGTAACTCCAGAGTGCAGATGAGAGTGTGTTAGTGGCTATGATTGATAGGGTCATTGTGAGTGGACATCATTGTATTAGTCACAGTAGGTGTGACTGCGACAATGAATGTTTGGTTTGTTGTAGTTTAACTCCGCACTCAGCAATATTCCAGCTATATTGCAGCCTGTAAATAATTGAGTCTGGACCAGACAATCAAGAAGACAATCAAGTGATCAACAGCATGAGCATCAATCTACACAATTGGCACATGATGACATATGTCAACGAAGTCAGCGAGCCTGACCACTAGATCCCGTTAGTCGCCTCTTATGACAAGCATGGGTTACTGAAGACCAATTCTAACCAATCACTACCCAAGGATAATATTGTGACTGCATATATTTTGGGGGTCTGACTCTCTGATGGTGACTTCTTCCAACTTTCTACAGACCTTCATCCCTGAATACAGCCACCACACAACCTCACTTCACACACTTTGACCAGCAAACCCACTAATTCCAAATATTTTCAACACCTCCTGGTACCATGGGAATTTAAAAACAACATCCAAAAGTGTGCAAAAGCCTTTTTAGCTACTAGAATCATCTCCCCACCGAGACCCTCAGAAAGAAGAGAATGATCAAAACATCAAAGATGCTTCAATGTCCGATCCAGCTCCCACATAAAATACATCTCAAGCCCTGAATGGATGGGTAGAGATTTGTTCAGGCAGAGGTGCAAATCTGCTAAATAATTCCCATAAGCCAAGCGGGAAACCCTAAATTTTCAGAATCGACTGATTGCATCTCCTCATGCTCTTTAACATCAATGACAAGTGTCGATTTCAAAGGTGGATTTCATGTACATTTCAAAGCAATACACTCAATCGGCAATCAGCTGTCCGTTCTTTTGGTCATCATTAATTAACCTTCACCTACAGCTACGCGACCTTAATTTCCGCCACAGTAGTGGGGTTAACTCCAATCATGGCTGACGTGCCCCGTGATCAATATCGGCGAAGCATCGCAAATCCAACATCTCAGGAAGATGGCTTGTGATGGCTGGTGGGCGTCGCTGTTGTTCATTTCATGTATATAGGTGTTAATGGTGTTTGTATAAAATGATAGCCATAAGCAGGAAACATTGTCTGTGAGGTGGCAATACATTGTAACACTGCAGCACATCGCCGCCACTCTCCTGATCTGCCACCTTGGGGGTGTCACAATTTCAAACCTGTATATTTGATGGATGTTCCGAGCCAAATAACATGTTTGATGCCCCTTAAAAAGGTTTTCACAATTTGAACTTGAGGCTATTTCTGTATAATCTGTGTTTCTAGACGTGGATTATTTATTTGAAAAATTGAGGATTGATGTGATCTATTAACCCTTAAAATTCTGATAAACCCAAATTGTCAAGAACGACACATGCAGACCAGTCAGAATGCATTTGGTCAGCTCACTTTACTACTGATTTAAATACATGTAAAAATTTGATTTACAAGCTGTATTCCAAGTTGTCTTTTGGCTCTAAATTACTAATCTGTGAAAACAAATTTGACCCAACATGTCAAAGTGAGTGAGTGAGTGAGTGACTGAGTGTAGGCTTACGCCACACACAGCAATATTCCAGCTATATGGTGGCGGTCTGTAAATAATCGAGTCTGGGCCAGACAATCCGATGATCAACAGCATAAGCATTGATCTGCGCAATTGGGAACCGATGACATGTGTCAACCAAGTCAGCGAGCCTGACCAACCGATCCCATTAGTTGCCTCATACGACCATCATGGGTTACTGAAGACCAATTCTAACCCAGATCTTCACGGGTTTGACACATCAGAGCAGAAGCTTATTCCTATGATGTGACATTCACTACACTCCCACAAACATCACTGCCACCATTGGAAGTGACTGTTACAAGTATCTTGAAATTTGCCCTCCAACTCCACATGTATTTTCATTGATAATGTTGTATATTTCTTTGGAATGCTATGATAATCTGTTTCAAAAGGTTTTACACCAAAGTTATCCCAGATGAAATTATGTTTTGTTTGTTAAATTGAATTGGTATAAAATTGCAGACTAACAAAAAGCACCCCCTACTACTTGTAATTGAAATTATCCTGAAAAACAAAGAAAATCCTTCATCGGGGGAAGAGTATTAGGCATCACAATAGTCATCGTTTGTTTTAAAACATAACGGTCAGTTCACAGCAGTGTTTGTGTTTGAAGATCACTGTAAGGAGCTGTGACTGGTAGCTCTGTGCATGGTCTATCACTGTGAGGAGCTTGTTCACAGCAATGGAGATCGAAAATGCAACTATAGTAATTCATATGTAAAAAAAATATTTCAAATGACTCACTTATTTGATGTAGGCTTTTTCATATCAAATTGCAGAAATGTAATTTCCACAAGCTCCTTGACATCTCCGATGAATGTGTACAGGATGCAGTTGGCGTCTCGTGGATAGTACTGGGGGAAATTGGGAGACGTGAAGCGACCTGTGCTGCCACCATTACTCTGATATATCACACATTCACAGCCTGAAATATACAACACATCGCTGAAATACACATCAAATCCTGTAATACACATCGCTGATATATACATCTGTCAATAACATTGTTGGATCTTTCGTGAAATCAGAAGAGCATATCTACAGAATTGTCAATGACAAAGTTAAAAAATAACATTGGTGGAAGCATATACAATGTTGTTTCTGAAATTCTGTGACGTAAAATATATCAAAACATATTTGCTTGAAATCTATATATCTTCACAACACCTCTTATATGCGCAAAAGAAGTGTAATATTTTACTGATATATTTTACTGTTACTTATTGTATTAATGTAACCTGTGTAAAATACTGGTACCCCATTTTAATATATCTACCCCTGTCACATAAAATGCCCACAAATTTCACCTGAAATGCACATACCTTCTCAAACATACCTTTCCAAATCTATATATGTTTGATGATAAATAATTTACAAAACATATCTAAAATACCTTGTGCACTGTAAACATTTCAATTAAATATCACAATCTTAAATGTGCACATTGTTTAATACACATCGAGAGTTGTACTTCACCAGCCTGTTACCTTTGGTCTTAGAATAATCGCTTTCATAATTAATGCAATGCTCCTTAGCTGCAAGGGTAAACAATGAAAAAAGAAAGGGAGAAATCTGTTATAATTGGATGGTGATAAAACAAATATATTAAAAAATATCTAAATCTCTATTACAGAGTTAGTTTTGTTTGCTTGTTGTTTAACACTGCTTTCAGCAATATGACAACTTTTTGTAAACAATCCAATCTGGATTGGGCAATCCAGTGATTGAGGTCATGAGCATCTATGTCAGCAAGCCTGATTACATGATCTCATGAGTCGGATGTTATACAAGCATGCTCATTAACTGCGTGCAATCATAGACATCACTTATGACTATTTCTGAATCACCATTTTCTACTTATTATATCCTGGGATTCAAACATAAAATATTGACACAATTTCAACAGATTTCAAAGGATATATGTACATATGAATTATTTATTTCAGCTTCATCAGAGAAATATCTGAATTATTCTGTTACTTACACTTTGAGATTGTATTAAAGGACACTAAAGATGATATACACTTGCTGTCAAATTTCTAAGCATAAAATCATCTTTAACAATAAATATAAATAGTTCTTCAAGCAGACCACTCATTCTTATTTAGAATATGCAAACTGATTAATTCAATTTTAGAATTTCTTCATATTTTCAAACCATGTGTGAAATTCTAACCAAATTCTAACCAATCTTACAAATTCAACAAAATCTTACTCACAGCTTAAGGGTTAATTTAATTTCCTATTCTAACCACAAGGGTTAACAGCAGTTTAATGAAAGCAACATTAAGTCCATCAAGGCTACAAAATGTCATCGTCACCTGCCTTTACCTTATGTATTAAAAAGAAATCAATTTAGTTTTTCAGTAGAGAAGGAAATTTCTACCATTTTTTCAAAGAGACCAAGAAAGAGATTGGAACAGGAACTAATACACATATATCCTTCAAAGATTCTGTTAATTGTGTGAAGCTTTAGATGCAACTCTAATTGCTATCAGTAGCAGTGCTCAGAAATTATTCACAAGACAGATATCTTGGTTGGAATAATGTTCCATGGTGGATTTAGTTCCTGGGATTCTCTTCAGGATGAGCAGCATAAAAACATGCTGCACACATTGTAAAGTAAATCCAAGGAATAGAACTGCTTTGAAGAATCTAAACATTTTGAACATGAAATAAAAACCATCAGCAGATTTAATCAGTAGCATTGTGTGTAGTTAATGGTGTTATCGGAAATGAGCTTTTTCTTTTGGCCTGTGCGACACTTGCACAGGTGCACAGGGATCCGTGGGACCACAATATATTACATGTGAGTTTGTTACCCGTAGGGTTAGAAATAAGTGAGTTCATCAAAATTGTATGTGCTCTAGTATCACTTGTGCCAAGCATTAGTTTAATGTCAGTGTGCTATGAATGCTTTGAACATAGAGATTTTTCTGGGTTACATCTTCTTTTTATTCTTGAGTACAATGTTTCAGGGCTTGTTCTGGCCCCATCATCAGTTTTACCTGATGTAAAACTGATGATGGGGCCAGAACAAGCCCTGAAACGTTGTACTCAAGAATAAAAAGAAGATGTAACCCAGAAAAAATCTCTATGTTCATCAAATATCATCTTCTAAAATGCCAATCAAGCATCTATGAATGCTTTGTTTTTGGGCCCCTTGTGAGATATCCTTTCATGTTTTGATTGTTTAGTTGTTTATAATGCAGCAATATTTCACAAAACAGTCTGTAAATAATCAAATCTGGACCAAACACTCCAGAGATCGACAGCATGAGCATCAACTTATGCAGCTAGGATGTGATCACATTGACGGACCAAGTCAGAGTCAGTACATTCTGTGTCAGTACATTCCAACCCGACCATTACGATCCCAGAATCACCAGCTACTTGTCATTCCTAAAGTTCGACTCTCATCCTATGGGAAAAGATCATTCCAACACGCAGCCGCCAGTCTCTGGAACAACTTGCCCACTCACATCAAGAATGCTGAATCTTTGGACACATTTAAATCGTCTCTAAAACCCACTTTTTCGTCTTGCCTATTACTAGACTTTCTATTTCAATTGTCTTTCAATTCCACATTCATAAGAAATCTCTGCCAAAAGCAGAGTCGATTGTACAACTGTGACTATATCATGAGCATATATTTGTTTCAACAGCATTACAGCTGTACAATGTTGTTTGTAAACAAATCAAATCTGGACCACACAATCCAGTGATTGTCACCATGCGATACGATGACAGAGCATGTGTTTATGAATCACTATGAAATAGTGATGATATCAACTGGTGTTCACGAAAAGGTGAGAGTATCCTGCCCACAAACAAATCCTAAACTTAATTTACATTTCCTTGCTTACATGGGGCTCTTTTGCTGCTCATAAAACAAATTTATTCTTCCTATCTTTAGTCCTTCCAAAATCAAATACAAACAGAGCAAATGACATCAAATGCATCTAATACTCATAAAAGTGAGTGAGTGAGTGAGTGAGTGAGTGAGTGTGATTTTACTCCGTTTTTAGCAATATTACAGTAATATCATGACGGTGAACACCGTGAGAAATGGGCTTCACACATTGCACCCATGTTGGGAAACGAACCCGGTCTTCGGGGGACGAGCAAACACTTTCGCCACTAGGCTACCCAAATGCCCCAATACTCATTAAAGAACTAAAACACATGGCACACTTCAGTCACAACCAATGTAAGTGTCCTTCTCTGCAACTAAACCTGCCCTTGTTGTGTCGGGTGAAAACACACTGACAAGATGAACTCGGCATGTATCGTGTTAGTCAATTGCAGTATCCTGATGAAAAAAATGCTCATAAGACAACAGAGAACTTCTCAATTTCAACGTAATGCATCATAGATGCAAAACTATCCTTAACAATTGCAATTTGGACACGTAGCACAAGCGTTTCAGGAAATGCTGTCTCGAAATTGACCAATTACTGGCACTTTGAGGTCACTTGATAGGCGTCAGACATCTTTGCACACATGCTCCAATATGACCCGGTGTGTTTGACCTCGACCAATCAAATACTTCCTTCCTGAGGGATGTAATACCTCATCTGTGTTCGGATGTCCATACAGCAGAAGGACCTTGAAGCAATGCATCACAATTAGATGATGTCACCTACTGTAGTTATTTAACATACGCCACTGGGAACCCACGTGGTTCAAGTGTTCACTCATTACTCTCAAAACCTGGGTTTGATTCCACATATAGGTAGCCTATTCTTGGTTTTCCCCATGGGATAACTTGGAATTCCAAATGACAGTGAGTGAGCGAGTTAAGTTTTATGCCACACTCAGCAATATTCCAGCTATATGGCAGGTGTCTGTAAATAATTGAGTCTGGGCCAGACAATCCAGTGATCAACAGCATGAGCATGATATATAGAGAATTATACGAAATTATACGAATTATACGAAACGTGTGTCCTTCCTATGGTATCTGACCATGGCGAACGTGAATGTGACCTAATTGAGAGGTCATCGGTTATCCAATCAAACCGTTAGAATCTCAGGTCAAGTCGTTACGACACAGGTCAACGCGATACGACACTCGTGTGACGTACGAGATTAGTATGCAACTACCCATACGTTGACCATGTGGGTAATAAATGATGACATGTGTCAACCAAGTCTGCGAGCCTGGCCACCCGATCCCGTTAGTCGCCTTTACGACAAGCATGGGTTACTGAAGACCAATTCTAACCCAGATATTCACGGGTGTCCAAAGGACAACCCCTGAGAATAATTAGTTTTGATTGTCTGCCAAAAAAAGACGCCATATTTTTGCATGAAAGGGCAATTAGAAATGAATATTACTGAATAATCGAAGATGACACCAAGTGCACAAAAGGGTTTAAGTGGCTTCTGTTCTGATGACAGGATCAGCTACCCAAAATGTTTTCAAGAAATACTCCTGGAGTTCAATGTTGTATGTAACCAATAATTAGGGACGAGTCATGTTGTGAACAAACAAGGCAGACCAGGTGATCAATTACAGTAAGTGCCAGTAGTAAGAGGGTGTTGGGGTCGCAGAGTGGTTAAAGCATTCACTCATCGTGCCAAAGATCTGGGTTCAGTTCCCCCCGCAAAAAAATCCCCCAAACAACCCCACAATTGTTTCAGCAGAAAGCCAAGTGGATCATACCACCACAGTTTGGTGTAAAATTCTGTTGCTGCCAGCTTTAAGAATTTTACTTTGAAAGTTACGTGAGTTCACTGGAGTGTGAAACTCCATATAGTCAAGGTCAAACTGTTTGAGTGTCACTATCTAATATCACTATTATACAATTATTCCTAAAACAACCATCAACTGTAATGCAGAATACAACAGTTCATCAAAAGGAGAAATTGCATGAATTGCATGTACAAATTGCTGTACAATAACAAGTTTGATTACAACAAACAGATTAAGATAAGTCATAATCTGAAGGAAAGAGGTCTCTTAAGATTTTGTTTGTTTGGTAGTTGTTTAACACTGCACTCAGCAATATTCCAGCTGTATGTAAATAATCGAGTCTGGACCAGACAATCCAGTAATCAGCAACATGAACATAGATCCATGCAATTGGGATATGATGATGTTAACCAAGTCAGCGATCCTGACCAACTGATCCTGAGGTCTGTTATGAAGAACCGCAAGTAAGTCAGGGAAAAAACATAGGGACCAAAATGGCCAACACCAAACTCATGATGAAAGAGATATTCAAAGTTGTTCATAAACCTGTGGCAATAACAAAGTCATCAGGTGAATGATGAAGGGGAAAGGAAAAGCCAAGAAATGTTGTGTATATGTAGCGGCCATAAAATTTCCGAGTCCTGTGCTGGGATTCGAACCACGGACCTTCTAATCCGAAGTCGGACGCCTTGTCCACATGACCAAAGAGGTTAACCCCGTCAGCAAGCTGACAAGGTAAGGATGTCATCTGTGGGATGACTCCACGCCCTGCTACATATACAAGTTGACATCCATAATATTTGTCTTATACTTAATGCCAACTTCTATATGCCTCTC